ATTCGGCTATAACTAATAAAAACGATGATTGGTAGATTGGTAGGAAGTAGTTTCTCTAATTACAACCTTTTAATAAATGGCACTTCTCAAAATCACGGGTACGAAGGCTGTCACGAATGACGTGATTTATAATAAAATGGTTGTTTACCAGGGACGGGGAATTAGTGATCATACTTGGTTAACTTTTTACCCGAAAGGTTATACTGTAACTTTTAATAAATCTATAAACCGGTTTTATATCGGCTAGATGGGCTATCAATAGAATGAAGCAAAAATAGCATATTAAATAAATTAAATAAATGTAATTGGTTGCATTTTTTTTCTATTCGAAAATTTCCTCGTCTGTTTTATCTTGTTTCATGATTAATATATATGATATAAATGTCATATAAATGACGCCAAGGGACTTAAATTAGAATAATAGCTATTTGCACAATATGATTGATCGATTTTAAGCAACGAATGTACACAAAATTCGACCGATCAGACCATATGCGCAAATACCGGCAAAGGTACCATAGTATTCTAATTCTAGTAAAGCGCGATAGCGCTAGAATCCGAAACACTATGGTACCGTAGCTGTGAGTTGCTTCGTGCTATAAAAACTATTTATATTTATTGGTTTTGCATTGACCGAGATTTTAAGTTTTTATGAACGTGAGTTACACGCGTTGTCGGCTAAAATTTGAGTCCGTTCCGGCGTGTAACTCGAAACAGTTGGTAAATGCAAAATCCAATAAATAGAATATACCAAAAGAGAAAATGAATGAAGATAAAGACGAGCAAGATCAGAACAAAATTTTAAGTTAAATTTCTGATGTTTTCCGAAAGAATACAAATTTTTGTGATAGCGCAAGTTCCCTGTCGGGGAGTATGAATCTTGGTTGTTAATCACGTTATCGATTTATAGATCGCACCCCAAAATCGGGTTAATTCTGGTCAATTTTGCAGATCATTTGACGCAAAATTATAGTCTGTGCTCTAGGGCCGCAGTCTGAACCAGTTCAAGTGGTCCCAGTCCATAAATTAAGACCAGTCTTAATAAGTCGGTTCATAGTAAGGATACCAAATATGTGTAATCACATAGTTCAATGAATAAAAGTTCTATCATAACGACTTTCTTAACAAAATTGTTTAAACAACTTCTATACATTGAAAAAAACTCTATTAACTCAGGAGATAAAGACTTCCTGTAGTCTGGTATGCTCATATTTGATACATGCTTGCTAAAACAAGCAACTGAATTCCCGATTTATTTTATTATATACTTTCTTGTAGAGTCAGAAGCATGTCTAAATTCTATTAGCTAAAGCGGACTGGTCTTGGAACCAGATTGATTAGAACTGGTTTAATAGACCAGTTTATAAACCTTGGTCTGGTCCACGGTCTGCAGCTGGACCTGGTCTTTTGAATCAAGACCGAACCGTAACATCCGTGCTCGGTTGGTGATCACGTGACGATGCTCAACAATCCTATTAAAAATTTTGAAAGTTTTTTAAAACTTCTAGTGATGATTTCTCAGTAACTACTTGATCAATTTCGATAAAAACTTTTTTATTTTAATTCTATAGTATTGTAAAATTAATATTAAATAGTATATTGAATTTAATTTGGCTGTTATCGAGAAATCATCGCTAAAAGTTTTAAGAAACCTTAAAATATCGGAAAAAACAAATCGGGTAAATTTTTCTTTCTTTGAAATTTAAACAAAGATTTCTCAACAATCAACTATCCAAATTCGACGAACTTTTTTTTATTTTTATTTTATGGATTTATGGAATTAAAATAAAATAAAATTGATCGAATTTGAATAGCTGGTTGTTGAGAAATATTCGTTAAAAATTATTTTTTAATGACATCTAAACTTTGAACAAAGATTACTCTGGTCAAATTGATCAAATTACAGTCGACCCTCTCAGAATCGGTATGCATGGTGGACAGGTTTTGTATCGGCTTTGGGAGGTTATCGGATTTGAAAACATAACAAACTATTAGATTTATATAACGGGACGGACTTGGTAGATTAATTTTTTATCAGATTTGACAGGTTATCGGTTTTGACAGGATCGGTTTTGAGAGGGTTGACTGTATTTTTATTTTAATTTTATGAGATTGTAGAACTAAAATAAAAAAAATTGATTAAATTTGACTAGGAAAGTGTCGAGTAATCTTCAAAGTTTAAATGCCTATAAAAAGAAAGCTGCAGTCAAATTTTTTTTTAACTTTTAATGAATATTTCACAACAAACAGCTATCCAAATTTGATTAAATTTTTTATTTTAATTTTGTGGGTTGTGGAATTAAAATAAAAAAAATTTAATCGAATTTGAATAGCTGATTGTTGAGAAATATTCGTTAAAAGTTATAAAAAAATTTGGCTGCAGCTTATTTTTTAATGACATCTAAACTTTGAACAAAGATTACTCGACAGTTACCTGGTCAAATTCGATTAAATTATTTTAATTTTATTTTATGAGATGTAGAACTAAAATAAAATAAAAAAAATAGATTGAATTTGACCAGTAAGTGTTGAGTAATCTTCGTTCAATGTTTAAAAAAATTTGGCAGCAGCTTATTTTTTAATGACATCTAAATTTTGAACAAAGATTACTCGACACTTACCTGGTCAAATTCAATCAAATTTTTTTTTTATTTAGTTCTACATCTCAAAATTAAAATAAAAATAATTTGATCGAATTCGACCAGGTAAGTGTCGAGTAATCTTTGTTCAAAGTTATGTTATTAAAAAATAAGCTGCGGCCAACTTTTTTATAACTTTTAACGAATATTTCTCAACAACCAGCTATTCAAATTCAATTAAAAATTTTTTATTGTAATTTTATGCACCCACAAAATTAAAATAAAAAAGTTATCGAATTTGGATAGCTGTTTGTCGAGAAATATTCATTAAAAGTTAAAAAAATTTGGCCGCAGCTTTCTTTTATATGCATCTAAACTTTGAACGAAGATTACTCGACACTTGCCTGGTCAAATTCAATCAATTTTTTTTATTTTAGTTCTACAATCTCATAAAATTAAAATTAAAATAATTCGATCGAATTTGACCAGGTAAGTGTCGAGCAATCTTTGTTCAAAGTTTAGATGTCATTAAAAAATAGGCTGCGGCCAAATTTTTTATAATTTTTAACGAATATTTCTCAACAACCAGCTATTCAAAATCGATCAAATTTTTTTTTGTTTTAATTTTATAAACCCACAAAATAAAAATAAAAAAATTCGTCAAATTTGGATAATTGGTTATCGAGAAATCTTGTTTAAATTTCAAAGAAAGAAAAATTTACCCGATTTTAGTTTTTTAAAACGTTTAGCGATGATTTCTCGATAACAACCAAACTAAATTCAATGTACTTTTTTTTTATATTAATTATACAATACTATAAAAAATTTTTTATCGAAATTGATCAAGTAGTTACTGAGAAATCATCACTAGAAGTTTTAAAAAACTTTCAAATTTTTAATAGGATCAATTTTATTGCCTACGAACATAATCACATGATCGCATGATCGCCAGATTACACGTCATTCTGGTTATATCGACATTTTTGAGACAATTCAAAATGTCGGTACAGTGAGTTATACCGAAAAAAATGTCGGTATAGTAAGATTTCTCGCAAGGCCAAATGATCTGCAAAATTGACCAGAATTACCAATTTTTGGGGTACGATCTACATAAATCGAAAAAATCAAGCCATATGCAGATCCTTGCATTATGATTGGCCAATTAGATATACCGTAAATTCTGGGTCAAAAAATCATTTTGGCCGAATAAGATGATCAATATCAGCTTGCATCTACTATGTTTTTATATATTTTTCTAAGTCTTTGAAAGTTTTGTACATAAGAGTTTTAACACAAATTTTTCATGATGGGGTTAGTATTTAGGTTAGAATTAAGGTTTGGGTGGTGTAGAGTGTTTTTATTTAGAGCACTACATACTAATCAATTAGCCGGTTTTTAAAAAAATAATGCAAACCATAGGCGCGTTTTAGTAAGTGTTTTTGACCATATCGATAAATATTTTTGCAAAATTAAATCGATGTTACTGATATTCCCGTCCCTATTATTTACTGTAAATACCATGTGAAAAATATGACATATAGATCCAGTTTGTAACAAAAGAAGCTATTTTAGAAAAAGATTATGAAATTTTTCATAAAATAAAAAGCTGAAAATTAAATTTGCATAATAACGTCTTTGAACGCGTTAAAATTTATGTAATTTTCTTTATATTACCCATACAAATCATCATAGACACATTTTTAAAGTGAGTTGAATTTTATGCTAAAATTTATATCCAAAGTAGCTATTGTTTCATTGTGAAAATTGCATAGGCATAAGAAGCCCGGATAATAATAGAGGTGAAATTATTAAACAGGTCAAGAAATTTTAATTTATTTTCAGAGGTTATATTATTAAAAAGGCTTTTTAGGTAAATCTAGCGGCTTATTGAAAAAATGTTATATGTTTAAAGGGACATAAATTTGTTAAAATCGATACCTAATATTATTAAAGAAGTCATATACTATGATATCATAAATTCCGAAAAGTTTCGAAATAGAATATGAATAACCTAAATACGAGCAAGGTTGGACAAAATTTTTTGCAAACATTCCGAAACAATCCGAAAAAAAAATTAATTAAGTTATATGGGGATATAAATCAAACTTAGAAGCTAAGGACTTAAAATGGTCAAAATTTGGAATCTTAAAGGGGACAAAATGCCCGAAAAATTACTAATAACTCGCACCTCTATTTGTATTACCCGGGTCCTGGCATAAGGCTTTATAATAATAATTAAGGCCAATATACGAATAACAATAAGATCGAATTTTTTCAAATTAGAACGATTATGTTGATAAGCTAAGTAGAGCTGATGTAGCAGAAGATATAAAAAAGCAGAATTTAAATTATTAGATTAATTCATTCTTATTTGCGATAAAGCTTTAGCTGGTTGATTTAAAATTTTTGATAAACATTTTTTTATCTTCTTCGTCTCTTGTGTCTAAGTGGAACGCTAGAGCTTTTGCCTTTACTTTTTATATCATTTTCCTCATTATCACTACTATAACTATCGTACTCACTCTCGTCATCATCTTCGGCCACCGCCCAGTCCGGAAGACCTTCTGGTGCAGATAAGTTTAATACAAATGTTTTCCGACGTGGGCGCACATAATTCGGAGGCATGGTAGCATCAAGAACATCATGGACGAAATTACGTAGCTATTAAAAGTAATATACATATCGATATATATTATAAAATCTTGGTCAAAATTGCAAACAAAAAACAATAATTATACCTCGTCTGATCTCCAAGATAAATCATATACGTTAACGTATACGTTACCCTTTTCATCCTTTTCCTCGGCAGAATCAGAGATTTCAGGTGAATGGATATCACTATTACTTAGCAGCTTCTTTATCTCATTTGAGTTATACTTCTTAATGTGTTTATCGTTTTTGGTGGTGAGATATTTAAATGCTGCCGTACGCCGGGATCTTTTCTATAAATTTTCATTTAAAAATAAATTTCAGATAAAATAAAATAAATAAATAATTATAAATATATATAGGATCTTTTGTATTTTCATAATAAATATTAATAAAATGTGTAAAAACTAATAAAACCGTTATGATTTAACTAAATATAATTCCGATATAAGTCATAACATTTTCTGCTCGCAATTTAATTTTATCACATGTAATTTATAAGCTAAATTACTGGGTATTGATAATTACTTCAGCTCGCCGAGTGTTTTTATGTACTCTCTCATCAAAACGGGCACTTCTGGATGGATCGCGACGAACTGATAGCGTATTTCGGGATGATTTATGACGTTGTTTCAGAATATCAGCCAACTCATTTCGATTTGTGTTATATCGATCTCCTAAAACATTGATGAGAACAGGAATCGTATTTTTTGCCAGGCGGTCCTTTTGCTCAGACCAGGTCAAATCATAATCAAGGTCGTATCTAACACCTTTTTCTTTTAGGAGAAAGAAAATCTCCTTCTATAATTATTAAAAAAATATAAACTGTTAAAAATAAAGATACCAATTATACAGATTATTTTACAATATATATCGATTATATACCCGAAGCTCTTTTTTTCGCTCCTTATCATCCTCGAATACTGAATTCGATCCCGTTGTTACCTCCGACGAAACAGACCTTTGTAATGTATTATTTGAAGATTCGGCCATTACCAAGTCGAGTGAGCCTTGATCCTCAGGTTGACATAAAACGCGCAACTTATTAACTTCACAAACTAAAGTACCAGCAGTAGATGTCAAATAATTTATTTGATCCATCATATTCATCATGGTACGTTCTTGCTGTCTTGTGATATTACGAAGTTCATCAATTTCTTTCCACAGCTGCTGATTTTCTAAAATCAAAAAATTATAAGAATTTAATTACAAAAAATGCGATCAGTTTTAAATAAAGTATACCATTTTCTAATTCTCTATTTCTTTTTATTGTGCTATTTTCATATTCTTCTTTAGTAATAGGAGAGCTAAACGCAAAAATAGGAGTATTAGAAGGAGTGGTTGGTGAAGTTGTCGGGACGATAGGTGAATTCGGTTTGATGATAGATTTACAGCGAAGTTGTGCGGTGGATGTGGCGGGTTGAGTGGCAGACTGTGAGGTGGATGTGACGGATCGAGTATTGTTAGATTGTGTAGTGGATACAGTGGACTTAATGATAGTAGATGTGGTGGATCGACTAGTGGATACGGCGGGTCTAGTAGTAGTAGGTTGCATGCTCAAAGGTTTCTTTGTTTTAATCATTTAGAGAAAGAAATTTGAAAGGTTAAAGGTTAGGTGATAGAAATAAGTTAAAGGTCAAAGTTGAAATTAAGGTGGTAAAGATAAGGGAATGTTGAAAGAAAATTGATAATTTTATTTAAGAAAAAGCAAACAAGATCAATATGCATCCAATTCGTTGAGTGGAAATTTATCTCCTTTTATATGAATTTGTAAGTATAACTATACGTTTTGAAAATTGGAAAATAAACCATAAAAAGAAAACGAATATTAATATAAAAAGAATATGATGAAATATTTGATTGGAACTGATAATATAGGCAAATCAGATTTAATTGATTTAAATAAACTCTTCTTTTATTAATATTTAAACTCGTGTCTATATAGTTTACGTTATACTTATCACTCAGCATATATAATATACTAGAGACTTAATTATACTACAAAAAGTCGTTGATATGATGATATTAATAGATAGTAAAACACGTACTGTATATAACTGAAGCTGCATAAGACAATAGAAATAAGAAGTGGAGTTATCCGACTGATTAATAAAGTTATGCGCTCAATTCATAATTTATGAATTTTTTTTTAAATAATATTTTAGGGTACAAATTTGAATTAAGGGTGCCAATCATGGGTCGGGGTCGATCCGGTTGATCGGGCCGACCTTTTAATTTTTCTGAGTTTCGCATCTAGATCAAACGTGTAAAAGGTCATCAAGTAGTTCCTTGCCAAATCCTAATGATACTAAAATATTTTGTTTATTCTTTTTGTCTTGGCGTAATTATCTCTTTGACAGATTTGCAGGCAATTTTTTGATCAAATTTGTTTTCATGGTCGTTTTAAAATCCCGAAAAATCAAATTCCGATATTCTGACAATTCATTAACCCAAAAACTAAATTCTGAAAAAAAAAAAAAATCCCGAATAACCGTAGTTATAATCCCGAAGAACTACAATCCCGTAAATTCATCATCCCGAATGTAGTAATCCCGAATAATAGTATTTCATGAACTATCATAAATACAAAAATTGATGTTTATGTTACGTCCGTATTTAGGGATTGTGATTCTTCAGGATTATAATTATTCGGGTTTTTTCTTTTTCAGGATTTAGCTTTCGGGTTAATGAATTGTTGATTATTGTTCTTTCGGGGTGTTGAAGTGTCGAAATCTAGTACCAAAACCATAAATAATAATGTGCCTCTAATAGTCTTATTATCGGACGGACTACTTACCAGGAGCTTTTAGCCAATACCACTTTTAACTATTTCTAACTGGGATCCGCCTTTAACATGGAGAAATAACCCCAGTAAAGTCAATCACGAGCTGTTACTAGATTACTAGATTAAAGCTGATAATCGATTTAAAGTTTTAATATCCGCATACCTGGATTAACGGTAAAAGTATATCATTAAAGGGATAGCACGTTAATATTTTATGTTTATTAATTATTTATACACCCGAACATACCCAAAATTTTCATTCTTTACCATATTTTATGTAGCGGCTAATGTAGAAATTTGGGGGCTCGATTTAAAACAAATATCAAATCTAACCCTAAACTCTAATCTAGCCCTAAAAAAACGGAAAAAAACGCCCCAAAAAAAAATTTAAATTTCATATAAAAAATAGGTCCAAATTTCAACACCGCAATATTTTACCATAAAAGCATATGAGCGGATTTTGTAAATTGGACCTTTTTACTTGTCCCTAAAAATAACAAATTTAAATTAAATGATGGTCAGATGATCTGTACGTCCTACAAGCATCCTCAAAATAAAAAAGATCAATTATACTTATTACCACTGATTATTAAAAAAAAAAACTATTATCGGAATTATTACATATACCGGATGTCCCAAAAGTTCCTATACACGGTCCCTTTTTTTTTAAAGTGACTTATATACCCGTATTTTCGCGTAATAACGCTCATGAGCGTTATTTCGAATAATGGCCCGAATTAAGCTTAATTTGGGCCAAATTTTGAAATTACACCCCTGCGCGTTATTACGCGAAAATACGGTATAAAGATCACGATGATTATTTATTCAACACTTAAAAAAAAAGGGACCATGTATAGGAACTTTTGGGACACCCGGTATAGAGTTTAAAGTCTTTTGTTAGTCAGCACCCTTAAAATTTTGAGTAAAAATCTGCTCATATGGTGCGAATCCTGTGTGCTAATTAATTGATCTGCGAGTTATTTCGGATACACCATGTGCGCTATTTCGAAGTAAGAGTAGATTTTCTTAAATTCGATACAAAAGCTCTGCATTTATAGAATATTCCATTTATGGAGAATAATCTACATATATGATATTAAATATACATTAGGCCGATCAAATTATGTGCACTTATCATTATAGGGAAAGTGCAGTGCACATATGAGTGACACCATCAATCATATAAATCTTATGATTGAAGTTCATACGGAGTGTCGATTGTACGTTTGAATCATTTATCGCAACAATAAATTATATGCTACATTATATGATACGTTATTCGGGATGCCCATGAGCGCTAATTCGGGACCATATAAGCTATTTTTGGAGGACCTGATTTTCAAAATAGCGCACACGAGCGTTATTTTGCGCTTATACGGTATATCCGTTATTTGCCAATTTATCATATACATAGCCAACTAATGAATATCTATCTATATTATTATGAACGACTAGCTGAATTTTAATTAATCGCTTAGGCCGAGAATATGCTTTAGAAGAGAATTCTAACACTTATATCGGCCCACGAAGGTGTAAACTGAGAGTTGAACGCCCGTCGGCCCGGCCGTTGGGCCAGGGCTATCCGTATCAGAGATGGTTGAGGTAATTACTTATTACGTAATAATATATGCTTACAACTAATAACATTCTAAATTGTCGCGTTGCATGATGTAGATTAACGTCTTTTTGTTTACATAATTAATTCGTGATCCACCAGAGAATCAGTGAAAAAACATAGTAAACTTTGGGGATATGTTTACTATGTAAATTTTGCCTTTTTTGGAATCTAGAGTTTCCCAAAGGATAATCCGATTTTTTTTAATAAGTACCCTCTCTTTAACTTCTAGCAAAAGTTGTAGATGAGAAAATTTCGAGCATAATGGTAGTTGAATGTTAAAATCGGCCCAGTGGATCGTGAGATATGGGCATTTTTGTCTTCGCGACTATATGTTTACTTCTTTGTTTACACAAAGAAGCCGCGAAGACAAAAATACCATATCTCTCGATCCACTGGGCCGATTTTAACGTTTCAACTACCATTATGCTCAAAATTCTCTCCTCTACAATTTTTGTTAGAAGTTAAAGAGAGGGTTGCTTGGTAAAAAATCGATTTATCCTTTGGAAAACTCCAGATTCTAAAAAAGGCAAAAAACAAAGTAAATTTCCCACGGTTTACTATGTTTTTTCACTGGTTCTCTCAATATAAACCAAGCAAATATTTTTTAATAAGTTTTTTAAAAACTTTAAACAAGGATAACTTAACAAAAACTTAATCAAACTCAATAATTTTTTTTTTTTAAATTAATTCTACAAATTTATAAAAAATTATTTAAAAAAAATTTATTAAATTTGGTCAAGGTTTCATTAAGTTATTCTCGTTTAAAGTTATAAAAAATTTTTGTTATAAAAAATTTGCTTGATTTCTATTGACTTACCCCCATATATATTTTTTATCCTGTAATTCCGGTATGTCCCATTGCTATCAGAAGTTCTATGAAATTTAGAGTAGTTTAGACTAGAGTTTGAAATTTTATATTGTTTCATGTTACTGTACTTATCATTTTATCTGCCATAAATTCATATACTGTTTTCATGACTGTAATAACTATAGATGTTCTCAAACTACTATTTTAAGTCCACAATAATAATAATAATAATAATAATAAAAACAACTCAACAATATTTATTAGAAAATGTATTATGATAGTACTAAGGATTAAAAATAATATAAATTTTCAACATAAAATTTGTGCTAAGCATACCAATACAGATTAAATATAATTTACGTCAACTTACAAGATTAATGAAAAAAAATCCCTAAAAAACATATAAAAAAATTAATAGCAATTATTTTCTTTACAATGTGGTACATTTCTTTCATTTCGAACCTGCAGCTACTTATTATATACTTATGAGAACACAGTTATTAATTTACTGTTCTCAAAAAATTTTTAATAGTGAACTGTAAAAAATTTATATTGCGCACAAATTTATAGTAGTATTCTCATGAGAACTCTGGGAACACTAATTTCACACACTGCTTTAGACCTATTTATTATCTTCAAACATACCTAAACTATTACTTTCCGCATCCAATGAGAATTTTGAATTTTCGATTGACTTATTATTACCTTTGTGTCCACGGTAAGTATTTAAATACTTTCGATCTATACATTACTCTCGCACCGAGTATGAGAACTTTAATGCTTTCCTGTTTACTGCTTTCGCGCCAACTATGAGACTTTAAAATGCTTTTTTCGTCCAACCATATGAATTTTTACTATTTCGTATTAATTACGAAGATTTTAACACTTCCGATCTATTTTCATCATTGCTAGCCATAATTTATTTCTTATACCACTACATCAGCTTTGATTTAACAAAATGTTTTTTCACAAATTAAATTTACCGTATTTTCGCGTAATGAACCTATGGGCATTATTCGAAAATCATATTACTCGAAATAACATCCTGTACGCATCCGAAGTAACGCGTGTGCTTGGGTCAATTACACAAATGTCTTCCTATGCCGCGGCGATCAGTCTCCAATTCAAAATAATGCACGCACGTACTCGAAATAAACGCACATATGCTCAAAATAACGCGCAGGTGGATATTATTACACGAAATACGGTAGTAGTACATGTTCATGTTTTCGACTAGTGGTTTTTTTTTTTTTTTGCTAAAAATGTTGTTCGCATTTGAGGGCTGCGGCTACAGTCTCTTGGTTGAATTCCAAGTCAAATGGTGTAAGAATCATCCGATTCTCTCGTTAACGTACTTATCTTGCCACAAAT